TGTGGGTGGAGGCCCCAGGTGCAGCTGGCCAGGTCAATTAGTGCCCTCAGGGCCCTGGCCCTGGAAACAGAACTGTTCAGGTATGTTGTCCCTAAATCAGTCCTGCAGAGTCATCTGGAGTAGACCTCTGCAACAGGCGTCACTCCAGGCTAGGGAAGGTTAGCCACATCACTGATGCTGAACATAAGTTAAGCCCTCCACAAACCAAAAGCTCTAGGAATTAGACTGCAAAGACACCTATGCTGCTTCTTAAGGGCAGATTGGATCTGACCAGGCCTATCTTGGCTAGCCCTGCCTCCCCTGTAGTGGAAACGTGACGCTGAGGCATTAGAGCTGGCTCCTTGTGCGATTACAAAGCATGGATTAAAGCATCCACCTTGCAAAGCCTCCCTCGCACTTACTAGCTTGGACTCCAGTATGACAAAGTGACCAGCCTGCTCCCAGACCAGACGTGACCTAGGGAAGAAGCTATATGCTGCACTGATGTGGTGCTGTGCCTGCGAACCCAGCTGAACACAAGCCAACCACTGCTAATGCCTTTGTATTTGTAATACAGACGATCAGATAAATCACCCACAGCATTGTTAGTTGGCAGTATGTGAAAGAGAAAAGTCTTGAACAACATGAGTTTAATGCAGAAACTCTTGAATTCTAATTGTGGTTTTGACAATGACTTCCTCATTTCGTCTTTCTTGGCCCTGGTTCTGTAGATAGTATCTACCTGCCTGATTGGCACTGAACATAAGTTAACATTTGTAAGCTTGCTGAACACAGATAGTTTAAGCATTAATACCATTTTTACATGAAGTAAGGCCAGAAGGAACTATGATTTCATCTTCTGACGCCCATTATACAGGCCCATTGCATTTATTTTAAATATTTCCTGTCAGGTGTTCCTGACCAGTGGTGGACAGCAGTTTGCCCCCAGTTTCTATTTTTATTGGAAATCTTGGCCCTGACTTCACGGCATGATTGTGCGTGAGCAGTATAAAGCATGAGTGCAGAATGATTGTGTTGTGCCTGGCTGGTAAACACTACGCCTGGGAAGACATGGCTAATTTTGCACGCACTGACCTGGCATTTTTGGATGCTTCAAGTCTACTGCACTTTTGCAGTAAGCCATGTGGTACCAGAGGGCATGAAGTGCACACCTCTTCCCTGCACCTGAAAGAAAGGAAGAGTCCTGCTTAGCTAGAGAAATTTGGCACCACTGTTATTTGCAGACTCAATGACTTGGGAGAGTCAAATATTTCTGTTCCTTAAAGACTCACTGACATGCTACAGGTAGGGACTGAGGGTGCCAACAGGTGTTAATGGCCCTGACCAGCCTCACCTGAGGCCTTCACCCACACACCTGGTCCACGGGCCCAGGAGCTCCATTTAAGCTCAGGCCTGGCCAGACAATTGTTCCTTATCTAAGTTGTGTTATAGGTGTGTTTGTTTTGAGTTTTGGCTCTGGCCTTGTTTCTTGGTTGGACCTCATTTCTAGATGAACATTAGACTTGTTTTGGACCTTATCTCCTGCTGTTCTTCCCTTCCCTCTCTGGATGGACCCTAGACCTGCTTTGTGCTCTTGCTGTGACTGTTGATGGAGCCTGTTCCCAGCACCCAGCTCTGCCTGTCCTGCTGCAGGACTGTGCCTCTGTTGGTGAGGATACTACCTGTGGTATACCGTGGTCACCCTTGGTTCCTAGCTCATCTTGCCTCAGGAAGCAGCACTGTCCTGTTTGCTTGCTGACAGAGGAAAAAGAGAGCTCAAGGTGCCACACTGCCAAGGAATTGAGATTTACTTGAGTATTTGCAATCTGCAAGCCATAATGCCTGTTGCAGAAGAAGCAAAAAAAGTTCTCAAATTCCCGAGTCTCATGGGGGAAAAGTTCTGTACTTGTAGTGGTTTTAGATATGTTTGGGGGCAAATGTACAGACAACTAGATAGAAGTTACTTCAGATCACTAACTAGTAAAGACCAGAAGCAAGTATAAAATGGAACAACAACAACAAAATCTTTCTGATCCCTATAGCCCAGAGGCATGACACTTGAGGATAATTTGTACAGCTGTGTCAAAACAGAGTTTGATGTACATTGGCATTTTAAGAGCACTGAAAATAATCTTTTTGGCAACAACTGCCATGAGAATAGCTTACCTAACTTGAGCCTTGATAATTTATTTCAATTGATAAATATTTGAAATATCTTTACAAAAACAAGCATCCTCAACAACAAAAAATTCAGAAACAAATTATAGAGATTGATAAAACTACTTACCTGCTTGAATTTTTCTTCAAGTTAGCAGCTCTGCTCTTGAGTATCTTGACTTTAATGTCTTCCCTTGTTTGTCATCAATCTGCCAGGGAAGGATGACATAGTGTCAGGCATAAGTGTAACCTGAATGACATTAAAATGCTGATGATTTTTAAGAATGGGTCATAAAAGAGAAGTCACCAGAGAAATTCTGTAAAGGTCATAAACACTTCAAGGTAAAAAGATGAAGGAACAGCAGTGAGAATGTTAAGATTTGAAGGTGCAAATAATGAACTATTACAGTAGCTAGTAAACAAAACAGAACTTCAGAGCATTTTATACCAACAAGTAACACTACAGTATTTAAAATAAAAGAAAAGTCTGTACACATAAAGCTCATTGTTGAGTTCTTTTGTGTGTTAGTACATCTTGTCCTGGTTTCAGCTGGGATAGAGTTAATTTTCTAGTAGCTGGTATAGTGTTATGTTTCGGATTTGGTATGAGAATAATGTTGATAACACACTGGTGTCTTCAGTTGTTGCTAAGTAGTGTTTATACCAAGCCAAGGATTTTTCAGCTTCTCATGCCCAGCCAGCAAGAAGGCTGGAGGGGCACAAGAAGTTGGGAGGGGACACAGCCAGGGCAGCTGATGCAAACTGGCCAAAGGGGTATTCCATACCATGTGACGTCATGCCCAGTATATAAACTGGGGGGGACTTGGCCTAGGGGGGGGATTGCTGCTCGGGGACTAACTGGGCATCAGTTGGTGAGTTGTGACCAATTGCATTGTGCATCACTTGTTTTGTATATTCCAATTCTTTTACTATTATTGTCATTTTATTATTGTTGTTGTTATCATTATTGTTTTCTTCCTTTCTGTCCTATTAAACTGTTCTTATCTCAACCCAGGAGTTTTACCTTTTTCCTTCTGAGTCTCTTCTGCATCCCACTGGGTCGGGGACGGGCAGGGGAGTGAGCAGCTGCGTGGTGCTTAGTTGCTGGCCGGGTTAAACCACGACAATCTCCATGAGATGTTCTGTTTAATTTTGCAATGCGAGTTTCTTATTGCTTTCCTAAACAGTATGCACTCATGGTGCACGCTTCCCTAAATTACAAGGGTTGGCGAAGTACCTTCCTGAAATATCTTGCCTGTATCCAAAAGAAGTAACAGCCCAGTTGTGCAGTTAGCTGATTTTTCTAGTCACTGGTGAAACTAGCAACTAGATGACTTTCAGCTGTTAGCGTAGTTGCAACATGTTTGTGTGTAAAATCAGTAAATACATTAAGTTTCTACAGTTGGAGCTGTTAAAACAGTATGATTGCTGGGGGGGAGGGGGAGCTTTTCCTGAGCAGAATCCCAAAAGAATACAAATTGGCTGGGGAAAAGTACATCAAGAGTGACTATAAAGCTTGCGTCAATAACTCATAGAACAGTTGCTTTTCCATTAGAGACTTAAACATCAGCGGCTGCAACAAAAATTATGGATTTCCCAGGTATATTAAAAAATGTAAAAAGGCTTGAGAGTTTTCTGCTATAAAGGACTTATTCCATATTTTCTGGAAGAAATCTGTCCACCTTTGCTATGTATTTTTTTATTATTGGACAAAATGCGTATTGTAACAGCCATGTCCCAAATATGTAAATGACATAATGATCAAACGGAGCAAAACAGAGTTTTCCCAATGCTGAAGCAAACTTAATTTTAAGGAATGTAACCTATTAAAGGAAAAAATGAGTAATTTCTGTTGAAGGGAGTTTGACACGAGCAGCAAGAAAAAAATGTTCCAGCGAATTTGTTTGGAAATGGGTTTGTTTTACTTGTTCAAGCACTGAGGTCTCTCTGACTGTTTTCTTCATGTTAGGAGACCGACTTTTAAAAAAGGGATTCTGGTATATGAGATACTTGAAACTCAGGTCAAGATGTATGGGGCAAAAAGCGTATGAGAAATACATGAGTAACTGCAGAAAACTGAGAGAAAAGCTGACAGCATTAACGTTCTCACCAGTGCCTGGCATCAGGTATGCTCTCCTTCCTTATACCACGCACCAGCATTCAGAGACCTGCGCGGTTCTTTTTTTGCAAGAAGGTGAGGATGAAAGTTTGACTGAATGCCTCCTGGAAAGCCCTATATGCTGTATTCAACAGAGACATTGCAGAAAACGTAACAAAAAATTGCAAAAAATATTGACAGCTGTAGACATGATACTGGGTTTGACCCTTCTGATTCTAAAAAGTGGAACTTTTTTTTTTTTCAAGTATTTACTTCCTTTTCTGATGCATTTTGAAACTCGAATAGAAAAATACCGAGTATTTTTTTGCTAGATATGAAACTGTAATTGTAGACAAAAGAAATATTGATGTTCTAGCAATAAGCTGAAGTAGCTACTTAAATGCTTAAAGAACAAAAGCGATCGAGGTATTTTATTGTCTAGCCCAATTAAAGCTCCTTAGGTTTTGGTTGCGTGCACCCACAGCGCTAAAAATACGTTTTTGTTGGAACAGGGGCAGCAGCGAGCGATCCCCGGGGGTTCCGACGCCTTACACCGACGGCCGACGAGCCGGCTCCCCGCCCAGCCATCCGCCCCGCCGCGCCGGACCGGGTAAACGCCGACAACCGGCGCCCCTCGGCCTCCTCAGCCCCCCGCCGGCGGAGGAGGAGGAGGAGGGGCGCTCCGCCCGCTAACGGCCGTCTCCTGACGCCATCCGCAGGCGCCGCGGCGCGGCCCGGCGGCCCCG